AAAACAAAATTATATATCGGTTTGGATTGATAAAATAGTGGTTAGAGTTTAGATTTTACAATTAAAACAAAATTATATGTCGGTTTGGGTTTATAAAGGAGTGGTTAGGGTTTAGATTTTACAATTAAAACGAATTATATATCGGTTTGGGTTGATAAAATAGTGATTAGGGTTTAGATTTTACAATTAAAACGAAATTATATATCGGTTTGGGTTGATAAAATAGTGGTTAGGATTTAGATTTAACACGGTAAATATAAACTTATCACACAAATCATAAATTATCGCGATACAAAACAATTTAACACGATATATTTATAAACTTATACGTATATATATATATTGTTATCATGGTAATTCAATAGTTATTCATCTAACTTATAACATAATTTTACTTATGTATTTGATAAACAGTATTGTCGATACTTATATCATTATCTCGCTAAATAATTTGTTAGATGCGAAAGGATATTTTTGTCCACTTATACAAGTTGATGAGAGAGAACTAATTATACACTTATCAATGCTATATTCTTAATTTTTCAGTCAACTGAGTATAAAAATTTAATTCACCCATAGATTAACTCAATTATGATGAACCCGTTGTTTACCTAAATAACATGATATGGCTTGGTACAAATAATTCGTGCTAGAAGATCTGCTCTAACATTTGCACATAAAAAAAATAAAGATAAAAAAAAATGAAAACTCTTTTTTGTCAATCTTTATTTCGGTGAAGCTAAAATACCATTTTTATCTGGTCTGAATAGTCAGTAAAAAAAACCACTTATCGTTTGCCGATACCAATCATACAATTTATTGTCTAGACCAATGCCTCATACAATTTATTGTTTAGACCAGTGCCTCGACTTCGTAGTGAAAAAAATATAGACTTCGACGAAGATTACCATTAGTAACTTTTATTACAAAAATTGATGTTTCCTTATTTCTATAAAACTAAAATAAATAAAAAGCTTTTTATTACGTGATTTATTTCTATAATTTTATATTTAGTGAAAATGCTTTTCTTGTTTTGTTTTTGTTTTTAAATAGAAAGCTTGACCTTTGGGGAACAAATACAGAAACAAATGGCTGGAAGAATTATATAATATTACGAATGTGAACCAAACATTCACATGCTTCTCTTCTCTCTATGTAATTGTTCCACTCTTCTTCCAAACACACTTATCATTTCTTTGTCTTTGCTGTCTCTTTTTGTCCATTTAATCATTTTATTATTCATTTTATTTTACTTTATCTTATAACAACTCATTCCTATAATATTTTTTAATATACAAAAATATATATGTTTCAAAATTTTGAATTGCTTTCTTATAATAATAAATCAACCCGTTACGACTTTTATTCTGATTTACATATATTCCCCTAAAAGCTTTAACGTTTTTGTTTGAATTTGTAAGCCAAAAGCAACCAAAATAAAAATAAAACATGGTGGTGGTGAAGTTGCTTTAGCCGCCGCCGGAGATTTTTGGTTTTGAGAGAGAACAAAAACAAATGGCGGCGTGGAAGTCGTGGATCGTGGCGGAGAAAGCACGGAGATGTGTACGGACGATGTTCTTTGTCGCAGCAATGATGGCGTCTCTGTTAGCTTCGTCTCTGCCGGTTCTTATCACGGTGGCTGATGTGGTCGTTCCTTGTCTTATCGTCTCTAGCATCACGTGCCTCACGTGCCACTACTCCGCTGCAGAGCATCTTCGTCATTACAGTTTCAAGAGCTCTCTCGTTGATGTACCTCTCATCTCCTTCCTCAGATCTCTCGTCATTACCTGTACGTACGGACTCATTCTCTCACTTTATTACTACTCCCAACACTTGCTTTGATATATGGCTCAAGCTTTTTCCATTGATGATGAAACTTACAGGTCTCTATTGGTTCTGTGAAGACGCAAGATTAGCTTATGGTGTTTATCTTGAGACTGTGATGTTATCTTCCTTTGGAGGGATACTTCTTCTTTTGGTTAAGACTTGTGTTTTCACTGTGAATTCTCATCTTGAGGCTAAGGTCTATAACCTCAAGATCTCATGGGGAATGCCAATTTTGTTACTTTCCTCTGTGGTTTTTGGACTAGCTCATGTTGTGGTAGCTTATCGAACGAGCTGTGGAGCTAGAAGGAAGCTAATGTACCACAAGATTGACCAAGAAGCTGTAATAATGCTGCTTAATCTCTTGTTTTTTTTCACTTGTTAGCTTGAGATTATTGTGTTTGGAGACTTAAAGCTTACTCTTTTCTATGGTGTCTTGCAGGTTCTTTCATGTAAATCTGGTTTTTCTGGTTACAAGAAGGCTTATCGTCAATCTTTTACTCGATCAAACTGCAAAATCTTAACCTATGGCGGTGAATTCAGACAAAACTCTTTCAGGGGAACATCTTTGGATAGAGAGGAGCTGCAACCAAGACTGCTTGCAAATGCAGACAGTTTATTCATCAAGATCCAAGGCTTAACTGTCCATTACAAGCAGTGTACTTCACCGTCTATTCTTCCTCATACTTCATCCGTTAGTTCTGCAGCGGAAATGAATGTGAGTAGGCCTAGAGTACTAGACAAGCAGATGTCAAACTTAATCTCCCAAACTCAGAGCAGTCATTTGCATCGAAGCTACACTATTCAACCCGATAGATCATCGTTATATGATCCTCTGTTAGCCAGTTACCAAACCACACCCATTAGCCTTTTCAATAAGGATGATATAAACCAAGTGGATTCTATGAACCCTGGGGAGAATTTGGAGGGGAATGAGGATGTTGGTATAGTTCTAGTTCATGGATTTGGAGGAGGAGTCTTCTCATGGAGACATGTAATGGGAAGTTTGTCTCATCAGCTAGGTTGCAGAGTTGTTGCATATGACCGGCCTGGTTGGGGATTGACCTCTAGGCCTATCAGGAAAGATTGGGAGAAGAGAAATCTAGCAAACCCTTACAACCTCGAAAGCCAGGTTGGTTTCTTTAAATATGTAACAGTTGAATATGTTCTGTATAAGTTGTGATAGCTTGCTCATCTCCCATATCTTTTGACATAATTGATTCACAGGTCGATCTACTTCTTTCCTTTTGCTCGGAGATGGGATTTTCTTCAGTGGTACTTGTTGGCCATGACGATGGTGGTTTGCTTGCTCTCAAGGCTGCCGAAAGAATACAAGCATCTACCTTAAAACCCAATGTAAGAAACAGATCCTTAAGAATTAGAAGCTTATGGCTTTGGTAAGTTACTGCCTCTGACAATATCCTTGTTGCTTACAGATCAGAATCAAAGGGGTGGTTTTGATAAACGTTAGCTTATCAAGAGAAGTAGTTCCTGCTTTTGCTAGGATACTTCTTCATACTTCACTCAGGAAGAAGCACTTGGTCCGTCCTTTATTGCGAACCGAGATAACCCAATTGGTGAACCGGCGTGCATGGTGTGACACCACCAAGCTAACCACTGATGTCACAATGCTCTACAAAGTAACAACTAGTCTCACTTATAACCATCCATACAATGTCACTTAAGCAGCTACCTTTACTTGATGCCTTTCTTGTGGGATTACACATTTTCAGGCTCCACTATGTTTAGAAGCTTGGGATGAAGCACTCAATGAGATAAGCAAGTTATCATATGAAATGATACTTTCATCTCAAAATGCATCAGCTCTGTTAAAATCCATGGGGGAGCTTCCAATGTTAGTTGTTGCTGGGGCTCAAGATACTCTTGTTCCTTTAAAATCCTCGAAAGCTCTGGCTTCGAAACTCAACAATTCTGTAAGTTTAATATCCTCAAAACAAGACTTTCATAACTTGGTTTCACTATCTTGAATCTAAGTCTATGTATTTGTGTGCGTGCACAGAGACTAGTAGAGATCTCTGGTTGCGGCCATCTGCCACATGAGGAGTGTCCTACAACACTTGTTTCTGCTCTGAGTTCCTTCATTTGCAGACTGATACCTAAACTACCAAACTCCTAAGACCACATAAAACCATGCCAAAGAAAGCGTTTGATGAAACACCGTCTGCAAGATATCAATGCTCTCAACACAAGAATGTGACTTTTCGTGGTTCATTCGTCTGAGTAAATCAGGCATCAGTAAATTCTTAAAGGGATCAAAACTCCAACCTGAATCGCTACAACGAGAATTGCTACAAAGAGGCTTACTTGGGAAGCACAAAGTTGGAGCGACTGCGTTCAATTAGGCCATGGGAATATTATCAGCCCAACGTTTCTCAAACACAACCTGTCGTTTTATTATGAATAAATGTAAATATGATTCCTGTTCAGTGAAAATACAAATCTTTACCAATGAATTTGCTTTCATGCTTCTCCGGTGATGAACTGTTACTTTGATACAAACAAGCCAGTGAGGTAGTCAGAAATGGGTTTTAGAGAATCATTCGAATACATGTTTAAAGATGGATAAATCGACTCACGTCTCTAACACAAAGTACGCCGATTGAACAATAGCAAACGATCCTAAAAGAGCTCTCTAGCGTCTTATCAAACACGACTCTCGAAATACTTAGAAACAAGAAAAGGGAAACATGACATATGCGGTAACTAAACATCTATTCCTTGGCGGATTTGTTGATGAGAGACTTGTGGATGTGAGGGATGACTCCACCACCAGCTATAGTTCCTTTGATGAGAGTATCGAGCTCTTCATCTCCACGAATCGCAAGCTGCAAGTGCCTCGGCGAGATACGTTTCACCTTCAGATCCTTGCTCGCGTTACCAGCCAGCTCCAAAACTTCTGCAGTCAGATACTCCAATATCGCTGCTGTGTAAACAGCTGCAGTCGCTCCAACCCTTCCATGAGCAGTGGACCTAGTCTTCAACAGACGATGCACCCTGCCCACAGGGAACTGCACAAAGGAATCAATCAGCACAATAAGATAGTATATTAGACCTTACTAAAAATGTTAACAGTAATGTCTATCAATCATTAGCAAAAGCGCTTATACACTCTGAGAACCACAACACTAAACAATATTAATGAATTTATCAATGAAAAATCTCAGAGCTTGTGGTATAAGAAATCACAGATTGATGAACCAAATCAAGCTATTAGTTGCTGCTACGAGCTTAAACTGCTCTCAAGTAGCATGACTATTGACTATTCCTAGATGAATACTCAAATCTCCATTATCCCCTGTTCTTTACAACAATCTATACACAAGAAGACTCCGAATTCATGAGCTAGAGAGAGCTAAATTAACAACAAATTAGAGAAAGACCCAATCACAGCGAATCAAAAGATCGGGGTCGATATCAACAACAAAAGCTCAACGAAGCAGTCTCTAACAGATTAGACAATAGAATCCCAAATCTCGCATCCCAATGTCTCGATTTCATAACAAAATACTAAAATTAGCTCAGAATCTCATCGATCCGAAACTTTACGCGATCTACTCAACGTTCATGCATACAAGAAAGCTCGATTCCAAAATAAAACACACAAAGGGAGAATAGAGAGTGAGAGAGAGAGATGTAAAAACCTGAAGACCAGCTCGAGAAGAACGAGTGATAGGCTTCTTCTTATCCTTATCCTTGTCGCTGCCGCTGGGTTTCCCCATAATCAAACCCTTAGCACCTTTCCCCGACATTTTCCCGCCAAAAGTCTCACAGTGAAAACGCTCGCAGATAAGAAAAGAGAGAGAGAGATCGCACCAGAATGAGCTCGCGAAGAAGTCGATTGATATTTCCCAGAGAGAGAGAGAGTGAGAGAGATCGAGAAGTCGGTTTATGGACTCCAGTTGACTATTTTACCCTTCTTCCCATACCTAATTACACTTCCCACAGCGAAAAAGCCCAGGCCCAATGTAAAGTCAAAATTGTCCTTAATCACAAATTCGTCCCCAAGTTTGCTTAATATTGAAAAGTACCCCTGAAAAACAAAACGATAGAGACATTTTAATTTGCTTTGATTCAAAGGGAGAGAGAGATATCTTTGTTTGTTTTCTCTGTATTTTTTTTTTTTTAAGTCCAGAATCAAAACACAGCGACTCAAGAATTAAAGACAACATTAAGGAATTTTATAAGCTCATTCTGGCTAAGTATCAGATGGTTTCTCTGCAGTTTTTCCTTCTTTGTTGATGTGAAAGCCTTCAATCTTCTTTGAAACTTCATCCACACTATGCTTCACTCTCCTCGAGCTTGTTTCATTCTCTTCCGAGTTTGCGGGAGTCGTCTGCCAGATTCTGATGGTTCCATCTTCAGATCCCGAGGCATAGGACACTCCAGTGGGAGTAAACCTCACACAGTGTACTGGACCGTGATGTCCCTTGTTGCATCCTATGTTCAGACAAAAGACGACACAATCAGAAGAAAATAACCAAAACCAAAACCTCACAGGAGCCTTAAGAACCCATACTTCAAAGATCTATAAAGCTAACAAGATCAGAAACTCCAACCATACTGACAAACGTAGATGCTACGACAAGATTATGACCTTATTGAATACTAATTAAATCCTGCTTCTTAAACGCCCAACTTATTGAATACGATGGCATAAATGTTTTGAGAGTCACTCACCAATCTCCTCGCCAGTGTAGAAATCAAACACTCGAACCCACATATCCTCTCCACCAGCAACAAACTTTTCACCAGACTTTGGCTCCAGAGACGCAGATTCAATATTGCAGGGCATGTCATAACTCTTCAGTAGTCCAAAACTTGTGAAAAATAAAGAAAACAAAGATAAGAGTTTGAGCAAGTTGAAAGGGTAATAAGAAAGATCTGATTCTTTTCCTGCAAAGACAACTTACTGATTTGCATCCCAGAATTTAACTGTTGATCCATCAGCAGTTGTTATATACCGCCCATCTTGGCTCACTTCAGCACTGGTGACAGGAGACTTAGTTTCTAATGTCTGGACAATTTTCCCGCTTCTCACATCCCATAACCTGCATAAAAGACCTATCAAGTTATGCCTTATTTTATGCATCTCACATCCCATAACCTGCAGCAATGTTTAGTTCATACCTTACACCACCAATGTCAGTGCATGAACTTAATATTGTTTGATCACTGTGAAGCCATGTGAGAGTTCTGATAGAACCAGGAGATTTATCAACTTCTGTAGGAGGTGCATCCAACCGGTTCATGTCAAAAACCCGAAGAATTTTCTCAAATCCTCCTGTCAGCAACGATTTTGTATCCTAGTGAAAGAAAAATGTCAATCAATTAATCTGGAAATCCACTATCACCTAATTAACCCAAATCTCAAAAGACTTCGACTTAGATTTCCTACAGTAAATGCTACACTAAGAGCTGTTAAATAACAAGCCTGCCCACAACCGATAACTGAAATCACAGAGATGATATAAAGATGACTTGAAGTCGCATAAGAGCAACAAGGATTGTAGTACTCCAGTATATACATTCAGCTAACTCCGATTCTTTTAATTCACTCACTTAACATCATAGAAGATTTTACAGAACAAAACCACCCCAGTTAAGAAATCGAGTATAGCTGCATAGAGATAGTAAGTAAGTTGACCAAACCTCTGAAAAAGCGCATGCTCGAACAATATGTTTGTGCTCAAAAGAATGCAGCACATCCCCTGTTAAGGCATCCCAAAGTTTGCTGGACAAAACAATATAACAAAAAATTTAGATGATTAGCCAACAGATATGTATGCTGTAGTTGTATATCAGAAAAACAACATAATACTGAACCAAAATAAATGAAACACATACGCTGAAAAATCGGCTGAAGCAGATGCAGCACGCAATGCATTGTTATCCAGACAAGAACTCCAAACTGCACCTTTATGCCCTTCAAATGTACCAATCCAGTCTCCAGTTTCGCCATTCCTCAACATTGGATGTGAATCTATACCATCAAAACACAAATATTCTCAGTTTCCCAGAACTCTAAAAGCTCCAAAACAAATATGAGCAATTCAAGCATGTAAACTCAAATACTAGAGTTGCCACAAAAGCTAATCCATTTATAAATACCCACCAACCAAAACATCCTAGTATGTTACTCAATTCGATCAAGATGAGTTTTGCACAAGTTCTCGGAACTACAACAGACCCCATGACAGAAAAAAAAATCAAATTTTTCAAAAGTAGTATTTACCTTTGCTGGCACTGATGAGGAAGAAACCATCAGGCGTGATTGGACTGTAGAACAAATCCACAACAGGTCTTGAATGGCCATGGCAGACTTGTGGAATGGTCACCTTCTTCTTATCCATTTGTCTTAAACCCTAATTGATCGAACCCCTTTGAAATTCAAGTAAAGGTTTTTTCAATTCCAAACGATTGAAGTTAGATTCCGAGTAATTGAACACCTAAAAGGTTCTAATTTTTTTTTGTTTTTTTTGTTCTAATTTCTACAAATCTAAAAGAAAAACGCTTCGATCGATATAGAAAAATTCTGAAGCTACAGTGTAATGTTAATTGCTGAAGATTCTACAGAAGAAAGAAAAAAGGGGGAAATTTGCAGAAGAATGGGGTGCTTTTTTTATTTTGTACAAACAGTAAACCCAGTTTTAGGGATTTCTACATCGGGAAGGAGAAGGAGAACCATACTAATTTATAGATTTGGAATTAATATTAGGGTACTTCCCGTATCTTCTTATGTATTGCATAAGCGGCCCTCTATTTCTTTGCTTTACATTTGTGTCCTTTTATTTTTTTTGAGCAAGATTTGTGTCCTTTTCACATGAAAAATGCACTTTCCTTTGTTTACTGTTGGGACCATTACAGTTCTAACTTACAAACATTAGAGTAATTTTGTTATTATGAATATACATGGTAGGGGGTTGCAAAATGGAAAAGAAAAGTTTGGGTAACATTTTCGTAGATAAGAAAAAGAGTGTCACCGAGTGAGATTATAAATTTTAAATTCACGCGGGAATATTAAATGCGTCAGTAATAACAAATACTCTCTTTGTTTCTAATAGACTGATGTTCTAAGATTTTCACACTTATTAAGAAAAAATAAAGTTTCTATTTATTAATTAATTTATAATTGTTTATGGGTAGAAAAAGAAAATATAAACCATTAATAGCATGACATGTAGAGAAACATAAAAAGTAAAATAATCATTTTAGGTTTTTAATCTACAAAATCAATTTTTGTAAAACAAAAAAAAATCTCAAAACATCAATCTATTAGAAACAGAGGGAGTATGTTATCTAATTATTATTTTTTGGTAGGAAGATGTTTTCTAATAATTTTGTTTTAAAAAACATGATAATTTAGAAACTCTTTTGATGATTTGCAAATTGGAAATGAAAAAAAAACAAGTATGATTGTTTGGAGTTCCTAGAAACCCTTTTGGTTATTTGCATGGACAATATTACTAGATATTACTAGCATTATAATATGATTAAGACAAACAAAGCACATGATAAAGAAATTACAAATTAGTTAAAACCTCAAGGCATGTGACCATTCTCTAAGTGAGGGCTTCTTTGACAAACCATTGAAAGCTTTAAAGGAGGGTGCCTTTTGCGTTGAAGAGGAAGAGGGTACAAGTCCACAAGGTGAATAGTTTATATTAAGGTTGGTATAAGTCGAGAGATAGACAAACACCATGGGGGCTTTGTAAGGAGCTTTTTGGGGTTACTAATCTCTAACTGATCTAGTAGATTCCAGGCACAAGATCCTGACATAATATAGGTTGTGTCAATGTGCCGTCATATCGATAACAATAAACTTGATAAATCTTGTGTGCATCTTCTCTTCCTCTCTTGATAAAACTTGATACCAAGAAGAAGTGAGAGTACTTGGCCAAGGTGAATAGTTTATATAAAGTTTTGGTACTTGTAGAGAGATAAGACACTTTGATTTCTCTTGTAACCTATAACTGATAGTGGATTCGAGGCACAAGGTCCCGACAAGACATAGGTGGTAGTTAATTAGACCAAAACAACTTCACGGTCATCACCAAGATTTGGAGTAGTTCTAGTTAATGTTGGCTTCTCAGCAAACAAAATCACAAATATTATAGTTCTGAAGTAGAGATTACTAAATGTAATAACATTACTTAATATTGAGATTAGATGAAAGAGCTGCAGATTAGTGTAATAGTGTGACAAGAAATGTCTAAACGAACTAAAGTAGGAGATCATCCAACGGTTGTTTACAGAAAAAACAGAAATCAACGGAAATTAACGATCATCCAACGGTTCCTGAGGAACCAGAATTTACAACACAATAAAGACCAAACACAATCCAACGGTTCTTATGAAAAAGGTGCACCGATAGAAGATGGTCTGCATCCTACACGAACACTGAAATTAAAAAAAAGATTCATCTCCAGATCTGACCCGGATCCGTTTTCAATCTTCGACCCGGCTGGAGAGATCAGAAGCAAGACGAGACGCAATGGCGGAATGATACATAACATCGTGAAACGTGGAAGCTTCTGCTGTTTTCCTCCTCAGCTGCTTAGCTTTCTCCTCCGTGAGACAGCCGCGACGGAGCTTCTGAGTCTGACCCGACCCGGAGACATCGATTTTATCCGGAATCGAATCCGGATCCACGGTAGAGCCTGAGACTGAGCCTTGGATGTTGAGGTAGTCTGGCTCGGAGGATATACCGAAGAGAGGCGCCCACCAAGAAGCAGATTTCTTACGGTTTGAATCCGGGTTTTTCAAAGATCCGGATCCGGAAGATGCTCGGATCGTGGGTAGAGCGGAGCAGGAGATAACCAAAGCCATGGAAAGTGAAAATGTAGATTTAGAAACAAAGAAACGTAGAAGAGATTTGGTGATTTTAGTTTTTCAAATTATACTCCACAATGAAGATGGAGATGGTACGTTTGAATATAACGGAAGGAACGAGGGTATTATAGGAATTACCAATTTGAGCTTGTGCACGGAAGTTTAAGGTGGACGTGGAAGCAGTAGATTGTGGCCTTCTATCAAATGGGATAAGTCTACACGCTTTGGGTTTGGGTCTTTGGGATATGGCACTTTCTACGAAAGAATAATTTTTTTTCTTTGTTTTTTTCTCAAACACGAAAGAAAAAAGAATTTATATTTATTAATTTAAACGTGAAAGAGCCGTTTGGGTTAATGCGATTTTCTTGGGTACAAAACAAACTTAAATGTTTGTAATGTGAGTTTCTGACAGTGGTCGGTTGAGTCAGACTTACTGACAAAATCGTGTTTTTGGTTCTTTTTTTTTCTTTTCTTTTTTTTGGTATATGATTTGCTAAGATGAGGTTTACACATGGCTATGGTTTACATTTGGATATGCACAATATGGAAACGGTTAGGGAGGGATACAAATTGTGAACGGTGGTATGTATATGGTGGACACACGCGGAAGCATTGGAACGTGACGACATTTTTGGGAGATGGATAAAGTCTAAACGCGTCCAACGATTAGTATCGTCAATTTGCAAATGTCTTGTTCTGCACTTTTATTTTTTTTTTGTATAGAGGAATGTTTTTATTTGTTTAAATGTGAAAGAATCGTTTTGTTTGATTAGTATTTTCTCAATACAACTTGAGTTCAAAATTATTCATTTTTTTGAAATGGTGATAGTGATAGCGGTCGGTGGTGGGGGACGTAGTATTAGTAATTTACGGACAAAATAGTTTTCAAAACTGATGTAATTTTGCATTTAGGTTTTGCCCATCACGAATTGATTTTGTACAAACAAGAACTAGTCTACGTTAGATTATTATCAGTCTCGAAAATAAATACGTATGGTTTCGTCCATTAAAAAGTAAACTTCATTACCATATATGGAATCCTCATTACTCATTAATTAGTCGCTGAAAGAGAAGCTCCTTGAGATGCTGAAGTTATGGCCACTTGTGAATTCCATTGCTGGAGCCACTCGAGAAACAAGATATGACCCCAAGATGTTTCCTTTGATAATCAACGCAAACACGAGAGAATGACTCTTTTCGAAGATCAAAACGTCAAAAGATCTCTTCGAGTTTTTCGAAACTACCAAAGCATTTTCAAATTAAAAAAAAAAAATGTTTTTGATGTAAAAACAAGGGTTTTTTGTTTGGGAAATTTTCTATTTTTCTGAGATATTATACTTAGCAAGAGTATATATATAGAACAAGGACAATAAAAAACTTCATACAAATTTTAGTGACCTATAATTAAGGTCGATTATTACAACACGTACACAACTTTCAATAGTAAGATGGATACACGATAAATATAGTACAATATAGTACAATATTTATTACATTCGATGTTGGACATATGGAAGTGAGTTCTATTCATTTATAGGCTTCGGACTTATTTTGCGATGAACTTAGAGAACCATTTGCCAGAAGCTTTTTCTTTGCGATCAGCAGGATTAGTGAAGTTGACCCAATTCATCCCAAACCGGAGAGTGTAACCATTTCCAAATTCATAATTGTCCATCAATGACCATGCAAAATATCCTGCTACGTTGCTTCCATCCCTATAATAATTTGAAAAGTAGTTTAGTTAGGTGTATTAACATTTTTATAGTGCACTAGTCGAGGAAAGAACATATATCATATAAACTACGAATTATCTATAACTACTCACTCGATGGAGCATTTGAGACAAGAAAGATGGCTGCAATGGTTTTGAATTCGTCCATTATCGGCAAGAGCAACTGGAAGCGTTACGTTACCAAGATCAAGATCAGCGACTCCTGCAAATTTAACATAAGAATTAATGTTTATCATAATACATTATTCTTATTTTTTGTTCATTTGTTAAAGAAAATATATACATGCAACACGAAATGATATATGTACATACCGTTTTCGGTGATGTAGGTGAGTGGATTTTTGTAGTTGTCTTTGATGTAGTTTAGAATCTGACGGAACCCTGGAGGATAGTAGACGAAGCTAGGAGCCTATATGTATAAGAAAGAGTCATATCAAAGTTGTAATCTTTTGAATATAAAAACGTTTTTCAAAATTTAAAAGTCAAAATACTTACCACAACACCGATAGGAATTCCATTGCGATAAACTGAAAAACCAAGTAAAGGGACAACGAGTGTAGATAATTAGACTAAAAATATACAAAATATATACAAAAAAATGTTGTTTTACATACATCCAAGAGTAACTCGTGGATCGGTTATGGCGCTAGGTTCTGTCGGAGGAGGTGCGTCGGTTGCATATTGTGTAACGTAATAATTCAACCCTAGAAAATCAAGTGATCCTTTAACTAAAGCTGATTCCTGAGGTGTGAATTCAGGCAATCTATCTCCTACCATCTCTCTCATTATCTTTGGATATTCTCCGTACACCAATGGATCCATGAACCTAATTCATATAGGTAAGAAAAAATTAGTATTTGATAAAAAAAAAAGTATCCAAATTAGTATTTGATAGAAAAAATGTGTGTGTGTGTGTGTGTGACTTTTGAGAATCATTTTAATTGAACATGTATATACCATCCAACGAAGAAATCGAATGCTCGTTTTGCAGCAGCCTTGTCGAGATTGCTGTTTTCGTCTAGTGGGGTGAACCATCTCCCGATCAAGGTTGTTCCTATCTTACCACCTTGAAATTTCTGCATCCATTATGCATGAACATCGAAAATGTATATAAAACCAATACCTTATAAATAAATTATGAGAGATTATTGACATTAATGTATATAATACCTGATATCTTTTCCGGTATAAAGAGACAGCTTTTGCATGAGCTAGAAGTTGGTGATGTGCAACTATATAAGGTTCAGTTCCAGAATCTCCTCCAAATTCACAACCAGTGCACCGTCCTGGTGGATACGATCCATCTCCATAACCTTTGGTTGCGAGAGAGAAAGGCTGATTTAAAGTGATCCAAAATTTGACCCTGTCTCCAAATCTTTGGAATAGAAGCTCAGCATAGTTTGTGTAATCCTCCCTATTCATGTATCGTAACATATTAGACATATATAGATCTGATAGTGATGTAACAAAATGAAAGCAAGGTTAGAATTGAAATCGGCCGTTAATGCATGAACTTACACTATACGTGGGCTTAAGAAGCCACCGTATTCGTCTTCTAAAGTCTGGGGAACATCCCAATGAAATATAGTCACATATGGTTCGATGCCTGTTAATATTCACGTACGTAAGTAAAATATTTGAATCACAAATATAATACAATGATTAAAAATGCATTTTAAGCTAGATACTTAAAATTCAAATTTACCATTTGCTTTCAACTCGTTAATGAGATTGTTGTAGTATGTGATCCCGTTCTCGTCCACTCCCCCAATAAGTCTTCCCTCTAGGATTAGTATATAGTCACAAAGATCATGTGTCATTATATATTTAGTTAATTGTATCTTTTAAATAGATGAAAATATGAATTAAAGAGATGTGTTTATATGGGTTTAATATGATATTTACTTGGTAAGACCCTTGACCATGCTATTGAGAGTCGGTATGCTTGAACATTCATTCTTTTCAGTAGTTTGACATCATCCTGTTCAAGATTAATTATGAAAGTTCTAAAGTTAAAAAAAAACTAAAAAAGTGAACAAATAAATCATATATACACATTCTTCTTCATTAATAGCCTCTCGCTCACCTTGTAAAGATCATACGAATCACAAGCAAGATCTCCTGAACTGCGATCTGGAACTTTTTCTGTATATACAACAAACCAAAAAATATGAACATGATACTTCTTTTTTAACACTTATACGTTTTATCATATATTGAGGTGCATGCTAGCTAATAAATTATCCGGTATATGATCACCTGGATATCTATGAGTGAAATAGTCCCATCCGTTAAGTGCTCTATGTGCAGCACCTTCAATCTGGTAGAACGAATTGAATCATGTTGTATATATATTGTTAAAAATAAAAAGAATATGAGAAATGTTATGTATACATACCTGGTATGCAGAAGTAGCTGCACCAAAAGTGAAATTCTTGGGAAAGCCGGTTCGGTTGAATGCAGCAGTTTTGTCACAGTGGAAAGGTTCTTTGGCCTTGCATGCTGGATTGCAGACTTTTTGACTACTCGAAACGGCAAAGAGAACGACAAGGATGGCTAGAGAGTAGTGAGCTTTTGAAATTGCCATGGTTGAGCTATGTATATGGTTTTGTATTTTCTTTTGTTTTGAGATGATGATTAAACGATGAACTTGGAGGAGTTTATATACAAGGGTTTGAGTGCATGGGACTTGCATGGAGATTCAAGTAAACTGGTTACGTACATTTTGCAGTATATATTGAATTTGATCCTCCATGTTCTCCACCTCGCTGTCTTAATTTGTTTTCTAATAAATGACATTAGAGACTTTGAGTTTAAGGACATGTCTGCGTGAGAATATATGTTCCTTAAACATAATTTATATTCGATTTAATAATTCAGATGAGTGTTACAATTCCTTTAAAAAGAGTTTAAATTGTTGCATGTGAAATTTGTTGGAGGTTTAAGTTCCGTATCCCTTGTCATATTAGCGTACATTATGGGTCGTTTTATAACTTATATTACTCGTCAAAGCAGCAATCTTCGTTCCATAAGCAATTCATGACCTGTCTCATTTGATGATATGTATCAAATTTTAATAGAAAACGTATTCTAATTAAAAACCACATCAACCTATACAATAATAGAAAAGCATCCTGAAAAAATGAAATAATCAACCTATAATATACATCAACTAAATAATATTACTAGAACGTTAAATTGTTCTAAAACATGAAATTCTGGTGCATAGAAAACTAAAGATAATTTTTTTGTTGTTGAAATTTTGTATCACCATAACAAATAAAATAAAATAAAATAATTCTTTGTTTTGAACTTTTGATAGTAATTAGTATTTTGATTAAAATGGGTAAATCTAGAAATATTTGTATAACTTTTGTGAGTAAGTTCGAACTTTGT